AGTTTCGTGTAATTTTGAATCTAAAAATGGGTATACATTTTTTTTATAGTGTTTAGGTCTTTGTGGCCCTAAATGACTTTGGATGGGCAACATAGTATCGTTGGTTTATTTGTTTGGTCATTTCAGATGAACCGTGTGAATTTTTTCAAATTTCTAGTCTGAAAACGAATTTAAGTGGGACGGAGATAATATTTAAAAATTAATACACATTAATATAATATATATATATCATTTATTCATAAAAAGTCAACATAGTATCGTTGATTTATTTATTTGGTCATTTCAGATGAACCGTCTGAATTTTCTCAAATTACTAGTCTAAAAACGAATTTAAGTGGGACGGGGAGAGTATTAAAAAAATACAGATATACACATTAATATAATATACATATCATGTATTCATAAAAAATCAACAATTCAACACAAAATATTATTTTTTATATTACCAACACAGTTCTCCATACCACACAAAAAAAAATCAATTCATCTAAAAACATTGAGCGAAGAAACTGATAAATATTATTAATTAATCATATTTATTCATAATTACGGAAATTATTTATGAAGAAAATTAGTCATCAAGATTAGATATATATATATAATATCGCTCTTGTTACCGTGTTAATTGAGTTAAATTGTACCTCCATCTCAACATCCTGCAATATTTTAGAATTATAAAATAATTAACTCTACTTATATTTAATTAGTATTAATCATATTTTTATTATTAAGAAGCCATCAATTCCAACTCTCCGGTTAGCAATCCCTACAAATCCTCACCCCACGTTCGTCTCCCCCGCACCGCTCGAAAAAGAAGCCAACATGATTGTCGAGGATTTAGAGCTTGATTCTTGGATTGAGTAGACGCCAGAGTTATGGGGTTTGGAGGATGGAGGGCTGCCAGAGGACAAAAATACATCTGTAAGATATGTTTTACAATTTGTGGAAATTAAAAGATACCAGTGATAATTGATCATAGATACGAGATATTTATTATAATTTCACCTACTATATTATATAGCTGTGGTTAGGGTATTGACCAAATTAGAAAATCAACATAAAACAATTAACAATTCTTCATAAAAACATACTACAACACGTTAATTTGATGCAATTAGATAACATATGTTATGTTGCTATATACTATTGTGTCAAGAAGTTATTATTGTTGTGCTAAAATCAACATATATTTTATTATATCTAATTATATAATATGCTATTAAAATATGTATTATATATTATATTAATATTTGTTATTTCACTACAAAAAATAATATATTTGTAATGGAATTTTATCCCTAAAGTTGACGTAGCTAACGTAATTCCATTCTTAATTCTGTCTTTAATGTCATTAGTAACGGAAAAAGTAGATTTAGAGACAAAAAAATTTTGTTACAAAAATGATTTTTTCTTATAGTGTTTTCTTCGTAAATATTTGTTTATTTGGTTAAATTAGGATCAAATTAGGATAACGATGATTTAACCCAATTAACACGGTAACAAGAGCGACATTATATATATATATATCTAAATCTCGATAACTAATTTTCTTCATAAATAATTTCTGTAATTATGAATAAATTTGATTTATTAACAATATTTTTGATTTTTTGTGTGGTACAAGGAACTGTGTTGGTAATATAAAAAATAATATTATGCGTTGAATTGTTGACTTTTTATGAATAAATAATATATATTATATTAATGTGTGTATATCTGTATTTTTTTTATACTCTCTCCGTCTCTATTTTTTTGTCCACTATTTATATATTTGTCTGTCTCACATAAATTGTCTTTTTTTTTTTTTGGAAATATAATTATACACTTTAATCACATTTTAAAATTCATAATTTATAATTTTTTATTCTAATTTAACTATTTAGTTATCTTTATCTATAATTATTTTTATTATATCACAAGTATTTTTACTAATACATTTCTTCATTACTTACTAATTACATAATATCTAAAACTATGTGTCAAACTAAAGGGGACAAATTAGCCGGGACGGAGGGAGAAATATTTATGAAAAATTATTTCATTGAGAAATGTTGAGTGAACAAACTCTATATTTTAGAAAAATAAAAATTTTAAAGTCATATTTACTTTTTGCGTGTTGATTTTAATATTAATTATTATATCAAAACATAGTACAAATTAAGAAAAATTTGTAAAAATACTTCTATTAGTATCTTGTAATACTAATAGAATGATATTTGTACAAAAAAAAAATATACAAATATAATTTTTTTTAAAAAAAAATTCGTACCAAAATATAAATACGAACTTAAAGGCTGGGGGATGGAATATGCATTTTGGAACTTAAATTAAAACATCATATTGTTGTTACAATAAGAACATATTTATCAATTAAATACATCATATCATTATTAATATAGAAATTTTAGAAAATAATTAATTACTAAGGTGTCTACATTTTGGATAAACTTTATTATCAAATATAATCTACCTATTTAATATATATTTTTTTTAATTAAAATGTCATTTAAAAAAAAAGAAAAAATCTTAAATTACACCCCATTTATACCAATCATATCATTAAAATTAAAATCGATCCAACGGAAAAAATCAGCATATTGTTGAATTATTTGTATGGTCGATAGGATACAATCGCCAACTTATACGTAGTTTGATGTGAAGCTTGTGAGTGAACCAATCTCGAACCTAAAATTTTTTGCCATATTTAATCTCAATTTTCTTTTAGGGCGTGTTCGCCAAAATATTTATATATATACACACACTTTGGTTTATATTTCAAATAAAAAAATATAATTATTCATTTTGTACGATTTTTAATAAAAATATAGGAGTATTATTTTATTTTATAAAATATCAAATCAAAATATTATGTAAATCAAAATTCAAATAACTACCTCAATTTAAAATAAAAACCAAACAAATGTAGTTTATATTCTATACTCGTTGATAAAAAAATAATACAGAATATTATTTTTTATATTATCATATATTTTTTCATACTTAATATAAAAAATACATCAAACTAAAAATATAAAACGAATATATTGTGTTTTTTTAGTGTTTATAATTTTAGAGAGATATGAGCTTAAAAATGTATTGTTTGTGCTTATAAAATAAAATTCCGTATTATATATATTTCCTCCATCCACTTGGGAATTGTTATATATTTTAATTGTATTTTAAATTTTATAATTTATAATAATTTTAATATTAATTCAATTAATTAATTATTTTAATTTTAATTTATAAATATTTATATTATATAATAATTATTTTTACTAATATATTTTTTTAATTATTTATTAATTATAAATTAGCCTAAATTCTTGTATTTACTAAAATATTTTTTTAGGAACCCCCTATTGTGAAAATACTAAATAAATAAATACAATTTTGTGCTTTTTAACTTTCTTTTGATTTTTTTTATTTGAAATTTTCTGTAAATAATATTTTGCTATTATGAAAATTTTATTGAAATTGATGAAAGTTATAATAGTAAAAATGAGTAGAAAAAGAGTAAAAAAAACCTAATTTTTTTTCATTTGTAATATATAATTGTTATTGATTTTTTAAAATTAGATTTAATATTTACTTTCATTTAATAATTTCAATAATATATGTGTTTAAAGTATTGTATTTAAAAATTAATTTTTGATTTAAAAATTTTCAATTTCAAAATATCACAATCATAATCAATTAAACGCACTTAAAAGTTATTTGACTCAATGAAATATGTAATTGCTTCAAAGAAAAAATTTTGATGCGAATTATAAGAAATTGTGTAAATAATATGAAAATAATGAGAATGTATAGTATATTAATTATTTAAGGGAAATATATTGAAAAAAAAATTGAAAAAAAAAACAAATAGATTTTGAAATTTTGTTTACAATAAATTTTGACATTATTAATTAATGTTAAATTTTATGTTAAATATTACCCTATACTAAATATTTTTATTTTTTTTTCAAAATATTATATAATATATTTAATTTTTATTACTTTTAAAAATCTTAAATTTTTTTAAACTTAAAATTAAAAGTCAAAACGAATTGAATTGAATGTTAATTAATGGATAAAAATTAACAAGTTCAACATAAAATTCATTTGTAATTTACGAAAATTGCAGCAAACCCCTTCTTATTTTAAAATTGCATTAGCCTTTCTTATAATTTAAAAAAATGATATGTTTAACATTTTTATGTTATTAGTTAATGGTAATTTTATAATTGGAGATTTAAATTTACTTTTACAGTTACAGTTACGACGCATGTAGAAGATTCACTGTTAAGTAATGATGAAAGAAGATTGAATGCAAAATTTTTTAAACTATAAAAAAGTTTGACGTAATTTTTAAACGAGGGATTTTATTCAATTTTCATAAACTAAATATTAATTTTTTGCTATAAATAAATTTAGAAGTAGATATGAGTCGTTATGAACATGTTTAAGGATCGACATGAGATGCAACATCTTGATGTTCTATTAAGTTTGAAATTGTGTATTTACTTGTACAATTTTTTCAGCTGATTTTACTATTTTAATTTTTTTTTAAATATATGAAATCAAACACTTATTTTTTATTTATTATATTATTCTAGAATTTAATTTTACATTTAAAACATTACATCAAATAATTATTTCAATTCAAAATTTTACTATTTAAAATAAAAAATAAATAAATAAAAATAATACATATTTATATCACATATTATGTATAAACATTTACAAAATAAAAAAATAGCCAAATGATGATTTAAGATTTATTGAAATATGAAATTGTAATAATTTTATAAACTTGATTTTATCAATGACTTCGATTTGAATTTTTTTTTTTTTTTAAAATAGAAAATAAAAAAATGAAACAATTGCCTATTCAAACTGCCTATTGCTTAACTCATCATACATTCTAAAAAAAACATAAAAATGCCAAATTAAATTTTATTACACATATAGATGTGTATATATATATATATATGTATAGGCACGAGACAGAAATATTGACATAAGTTTAGGTTTGATATAAATAAATACTAAATTCATCATCAATCATCACTACGTGGCTTATTTCTATTTATGATTTTTTTAAAAATAATTTAAATTTATTTTTAATACCTCCGTAGAACATACCCAATACTAAAGAATGGATGTTAGCGACTTCAGTATACCCCAACTGCGACTTTAGTAAAACCCAAAATGCGACTTCAGTATACCCCGAAATGCGACTTCAGTATAACGCAAAAATGCGACTTTACTAATAATTACTCGCACTCCCACAAGAACGGCTCCTCCAGCCGGAAGCCGACGTCGGCTCCGGCCAGCTGCCACGACGACGCGTAGTAACAGTAGCCGCCGCGCCGATCGGAAAGATCCGGCAAGTCGAAGAACGCGTCGTCGGCGGCGCCGTCGTGAGCCGAATTCGGCGAAGCCAAATTCGTGGACGACTCGGAGCTCACGAGGGCGCCGCCGCCGCCGCTAGCGGCTGATTCTTCCATCGGAAATGTCGTCGCCGCCGCCGCCTTGGCGGCGGCGGCTTGGATGTCCTTCGGCGCGGCGGAGGCAGGGCGGGGGAGCTCGTGGGCCAGGTGGGGGAAATTGAGGTAAGCCGATTGGCCCTTTATGGCTAAAGCCGCCACGTCATGCGCACGCGCCGCCATCTCCGCCGTCGGATACGTCCCCAGCCATATCCTCGACTTCTTCCGGGGCTCCCGGATTTCGCAGACCCATTTCCCCCAATTCCGCTTCCGTACGCCTCTGTACGTCGGGTGCCTCTCCCCGCCGCCGGCGGTCCTGGCCTCCTCGGTCCCGGACCTTTCACCGTGATTTTTTCTATCGCTGCTGTTCCTCTGCGGTTCGGAGCAGTGCGCCGTGCTTTGTGACGACGATGACGTGGATGAACCGCCGGAGGACGAGGCGGCGCCGCCGCCGGCGGAGAGGAGAAAATTTTGGTCCTGACCAGTACTATGGAAGGTGAATTTTTCTTCCATAATGTAATACAATAACTACAACAACAATAATAATAATAATAATAATAACTAACGTAACACACATATATATAATTAAATAATTTTATATATATAATTAATATGAATAAAATGAATGTTGGTTTTACAATTGTGGTTGATAATGACGTAATTACCATCGGTGGCAATGATAATGATGGGGACATGAATATGTAATTAAATTGAAAATAATAATAATAATAATAAGGCCAAATTGCAAATACTAATTTCATGAAATTGCGTCAAATCCCTTATACTTTTAAAATTGCGTCAAATCCCTTATACTTCTAAAATTGCGTCAAATTCTTTCATAGTTTCATAAACATTGCGTCTAATCTTCTCGGCGGTAGTATTTGACCTACATTTGCTCAAACAACGAATAAATTTTAGAATTTCAATTTCTAAATTTATAAAATTACAAATATATTCATTTTTTTTTATTTAGCCTCAAAAAATAGTAAATATACTACAAAATAGTTTTTTTTAAGGCTAAATATAAGAAAAAATAAATATATTTGTAATTTTAAAGATTTAAAAATTGAGATTTTAAAATTTATTCGCAATTTGAACGCATTTAAGTCAAATATCATTAAATAAAGACCACTAAAAGGTTAGATATAGAATTTATAAAATTACGAAAAAATTTGACACAATTTTAATAATATAAAAATTTGAATCAATTTCGTGAAATCACGTTTAATTTTGTGCAGACTAATAATAATAATAATAATAATAATAATGTGGATGCGCAGAGCAGTGGGGGGCGGACACATTGTTGGGGAGTGTTTGGTAATTAATTAAAGAAGAGGGGGCCATGTGAAATTTGGCACGTACATTTCTGGGGCGACCCTGAAAGCCATTTCTTATAATTTCCTTAGTGTTGTGTTGAATGAATCATGACTTCCTACCCTTACTGCATTTATTACACAACATATGTCACTCACTCATTTAAAATACTATTATTAATTTATTATATATCTATTAAATTATAATGGCAATATCACTATAAACATATTTAAATATACTTAATTTAAGGGCTTGTTTATTTTATATGTGAGGTATGAAAAATTATGTTGGAATATATAAAAAATATATATTATATTAAAATTAATTAAATTAGGTTTTTTTTTAATAATTTATATAATATATATATATTCGATAATGTGGGACTATTCATTGATTTTTTATTGTTTGCTTAATTATGCATAATTTATTTATATTAAATAATTTTATGCTCCTACAATTTTATAACACATGTAAAATTTAATAAATAATAATCGATTTGTCACTATATTTTCTTACACATTTCATTATTTTTTTTATAAAATTTTTAATAAATTTATTATAACAATCTCCATTTTACTTTTTACCTACCTTAATTTTATAATTAGATATCATTATTATTATTATTATTATTTTTTGTTTATGTGTCAAACAAAATGATATAATTATCTCCAACAAAAATATATATATTTATATTGAAAATAATAAAAAATAAATAGTGGAGATTTGACTTTGAAACTCAAATTAAACACACCTTCAATATGCATGAACTTATATATATATAATAATTTTTTAATTTTGAATTATTAGATTGGTCATTACTTATTTGGCACTAGAATTTTTTATTTTTTATTTTTTTTTTAAAAAAATTTAATCGAAAATGAAATTTCAACGATTTGATTTAACAAAGAAAAGTTGAATGTATATTTAAATCCCTCACGTTGGAGTGTTTCAATCATTTAGTACAATTTTGGGTTTAATATTTTATTTTTTATTTAAATATGTGCTTGAATAAGAATAATTAGTGTCTTTAGAGTATAAATATATTTTTCATTTATTTTAATACATAAAAACTAAAAGTGTGTTTGGCAATTAACTGATAGTTGTTAGCTGTTAGCTGATTCCATTAGCTGTTAGTTGTTAACTGATTCAATTAGTTGGTTTAACTAGCTGATTCGATTAGTTGTTTTGATTAATAAGTTTGGTAAAATAGCAGTTTGATATTAGTTGTTTACGACAGTTAAGGATATTTTATATTTAAAATATTTAATTGAGATTTTTTTTGTGGATAGATTTTTTTATAATTTTATTATTAATTTTAAAAATTAGAAAAAGTTTAGTAATATATTATTTTTTAAAAAATATTTTCCATATTTTTTGCATTAGAAATAGTATAAATATAAAAGAACAAAAATTATTAACATATGTATTTTTATTAGATTAATTTTTAATTAATATATATTTATATTAAGTTTATAATTTTAAATAAATATATTCATTTTTAATAAAAATATTATGCGATAAAAAATGCTATATAATTGATTCTAACAATATTAGTATTTTTATATTATTTTTATTCTAAAATATTAAAAAAAATTATAAATAAGATAATTGACATATAAAAAAATAATTATTTAAAATTTATAAATATGAATTTATAAGTTATTAGAAGAAAATATATCTATATAATTAATAAAATAGTGTAATAAAAAATATATGAATACATGTGAAAGAATTAATTAATTTTAAGGGCAAATAACGAATAACAAAAATTAAAATAAAAAAACTAATCTTGAACGTGGTATATACAACTTTTTCAAAATTAGTTTTTTGAACTCAATAAGTTAATTGAAAACGCTAATTTATTGAGATATTTATTTATTTATTTAAAAAAAAATACTTTTAACTATAATCGAAAGACAATAATATTTTTTTGTTTCATGCTGTCAATTTATTTATTTATATATCTTTAATTTTGTCGCGAGGGATGGGGACAAAAATGGTAACATCCTAACACATGCATTAATATTAAAATGAAATATATATATATATATATTTATGATTTAATATAGATAAATTAATTATAGCCCTTTAAATTAGAAATTAAATTAAATTTATATTATATTATATTATTTATAAATTCCTGATTATTTTCCTTCATTAAAAATATCTTTTGGTATCGAAATATTGACACGTGTATTGATATAATTATGTAGAAAATTATATGATCAAATGGTTATGTAAATTTAATTTTATATATTTATTTATTTATTTTTAAAATTAAATCTACGTCATCATTATTTTGCATTAAAATTTTTCGTATAGCTATTCTATGTTAGCTCGAAATATGTCATGTCAGGACGTAACAAAGTTTGGGTATCAAAGGAATGTTATGTTTTTATTTTTTTATTTATAAAAAATATATATATACATTTTCTATTTATAATATAGAATTTTTTATTTTTTTTACATACATCTTAATTTATCCCTTTCAAATATTACATTTATTTATAAATATATCACAAAGATTTATTCATTTAATTTTATTTATTTATTGTCACAATCATCAAATATAATACTATATTTCTTGAAATTTATGTCTAATTTAAATGAATAAATATTTGGTGAACAGGGAAAATATAATTTCAAAATAATAATGTATTTAAACTCATTTTATACATTTTTTTACTCCCTCGTTCCCTTAACATTCTATACATTTTTTTTTTTTATTTTAGTCTGTCCCATGACAAAATAGCTATTTTTTTTTAGTAATTGTACTATCTGCCTAACATTACAAATACCCTTTCAATTTATAATATATTACACAAATATCATTACCTATATATTATACAATACTAATAGGGTTAATTTAGTCTTTTTACCTTTATTTCTACATTATTTTAATATAATATTAATATTTCTAAAACTCCGTGCAAAAAGCAAATGAATATATAGACATGGGACGGTGGGAGTATTATTTTTTATTTTTGAAACTATTGTATATATAGTTGAATATTTTGAGTTTACCTTAATATAAACTTATATATAAACTATTGTATTAAATATTTATACTTTTTTACAATATAATTGTGGGTGTTATTAATTTTTTATTTTATTATTATTACTACCTCCGTCTCATTTACTGTGTCTGCTACACTGTAGACACTGTATTTTAAGAGTAGATAATTAAGAATGTATTAGTGAAAATAATTATCTGATAATATAAATAATTATAAATTAAGATTAAGATAACTAATTAGTTTAATTAAAATTAAAAAAAATAAATTAAAAAGTTTAAAATAAGATTAAAGTGTGTAATTATTTTTCAAAAAAAGAAAGTGATATGGTACGTAGGATGGACAGAAACGGCAACGTGGACATGGTACGTGGAACGGAGCGAGAGAGTATTATTTAACAAGTCAATTTATAATATTTTGTAATTTGTTAACTAAAAAATATTCTTGCATTTCACGTACATTTTATTTTTAAAATGTTTTAAATAAAAATATTTAATCAAACAAAACAAAAGTACAAATCATTTTTATTATTCCATTTTAAGTAATCATCACTAAATTTAAATTTCATATATGTAACAAAATAGTACTACATTTGTTCGGCTCTAAGAGCATCCGTTACAGTCACCTCCTTCATTATCTTTGTGATTACCTTTTCGGTTTTTACTATAACAATATTTGTTACCTTTAATAAGAAATACAGTTATTTTAAATTTATTACATTTCTTAAAAATCAGTTACCTTCAACAAAAATAATAAAAATTAATTAAGTATTAATTTATTTTTTTTGAAATCTTAAAATTTCAAATTTCAAATTCAATAAAAATTATATATAAATATATTTAAAACTCATTAACCGATTATAATGTTTTATCTATCATATTTTAAATTTTTATTTTTATTTTTTGATCTCTAGTTTTTTCTATTCAAATTTTGAAATAGTAAATTATATGTTTCAAATTATTAAAATTTACATAGATTAATATTTAAAAATTAAAATATAATATTATATAAAATTATTATTAGACAATAAAAATATAGGACTATGTATAAATAAATAAATTACTTTTATTATATTACTATATAATAAAACTATATATAGAAATAAATAACTTATTGTAGGTATTATAAAATAGTAAAGGTAATGAGTTGAAGGTAATTAACTACAACAGGTGATATAAAAAAAAAAAAAAAAAAGTA